ACAGCATTACATGAACCCGCGCCCCCAATATGGGGTGCCCTTTTGCGGATAGTTGACAGGCGTCTTCACTAAAAAAGGGCACCCCCAAGCAACTCTAAACTTTCTTGCAAACACTCTTTTCCCACCACGTCCTCCTACCCTATGCCTGTCTTCCACCTTCCCCACAGCATTCTGGTTCCTCACAGATCATACAATGTCTTAAGAGACACACACCTCCCTTTCACACCCTTTCACTGGCCATGAGAGGCGCGCATCTTTGTTTTCTGGAAGAGTTCCAGCCACTTTTCGCGTCTCGTTGTCCCCTCTTTCCTATCATTGACATGAGCCCCCACCTGGTAGAACACGGTTTACATTGCCTCCTGAGCCCCTCGTGATGCTAATGATGCACTACTGGCCGTAAATCACATCACCGGCATCATAACACCCCTAAAACAACTCATTTTTCACTACCAAGTGGCCACCTCTTTTTTTCGCTCTCCCCCATCAGGCTCTGCCTCTCCGAAATTGGCCCACTGGCGACCACCCCCCCACACCCCCTTTAACTCACTTCGTTCGCCCCCCTGCCTCAAGCCTTGCCTAAGTATCGGCTGGCTTTCGTGATATACAATATTTATATAGTTATATATACACGTATACATAGTAGGGTATAAACACACCATGTAAACCGCTTGAGAATCACATTTGAGAAATCTGGCGGCCTTGATGTGCATGCGCACGCATGTTCTAGGACAAATTAGATTCATCACCTTGTCAACCAAGACATCCTGATTTCATCAGGTTTTGAGTGAAGTTGAGGGTGAAATATATTCAAGATGTCCTCCAGGACTCGAGGACCTCCCGATCAGTGATGTAAACAAGGCTTGTTGAACAGACTTGTGCATGACAAAAAGCAACTGTGTGCGGACATTCTGGTGGTTGTCAATCAAGACCTTCAACATCTAGTTCGGCAAGTGTCATTACGCAAGCCAGATTGAGTTGTTCTCAACAGAGGTTGGATGGGAGTCAGCGAATTCAGATACCGGACCATTAGAATACATGTTGGAATGGAAGTGCCTAGGTCTCTTGGATTTGCTTGGGCGTTTTGAATGGCATATTGTTGATGCAAGTAGTGGAGGAAACCTCTAACCAGTTGCTACTTTCCATTCAACCTCGGATTGACAGGCTACACGCTAGCAAGCAAACGAAGCTCCCCACTATAACGCTCTTGTTTGCTGTCAAGTTCTGGGCAACTTTCCTCCCACGACTGTGGTCTCCGGTCTCCTGGTATTGCAGAGTTGGCTGAGTCTTGGGAAGTGGTCACCAGACATTTCGGAGAAAGTTGATGCATCATGCTCATCACCATGTTCTTGCCAATGATCACAACATGATGCAGGAGCAGCCTCTGCAGACCTATCTCAATACGAATCCCACACCGGATTCTCCAGTCCAAATCCATTTTGTCCTACAAGTTTTTATTGACCAACTGAGACTGAAACAGGGAATTGGAGACTTCTTTTTGCAGCAAGGAGCCAACCCAGAATTGTCCGATCAAGCAGGAGCATGAGTATCCCAAAACACGTTGTAAATTCAAAATGAGGTTCTCGCAAATCCAGTGTCTGACCAAGCCAGTGATTCAATTTGAGGAACCAGAAGACACGAGCCTGAAGAGAATCCGTGCTTGGAAACCAATGCCTCTCCAATGATTTGCGGTCGAAGGAAATGGTTTATGAGGATACAAATGCCAGCCATAGATTCAGAAGGTGCCAAGGTAGTCTTAAGCACCTTTACATCAACATGGGACAGAACCAATTCATCTCCAGTCTTGCAGCAATGATGTATTTCAGGTGACAGACTCAGACAGCATTCTTGTTGCAGTTATGGCATGAAAAACTGAGATCAATGACGAAACATGGCAGAAGAACATGAAAGGTCCCGCCAAGACTTGTGCAGAGGTTCTCCAACTGACTCCCAAAGAACACTAGACTATGCTGTTGCTCCTTGGGGCAGATCATGGAGACAACAGGACCGAATAATTGATCCATCCAAAGCGCCGTCTTTCAATCGCATATCCGCCTTTGTGAAAAGGAAGCGGTTTTGCAAGCACACACACACACCTCACTGACTCAGAGATTGGAGACCACAATGAAAACCACCACACAATCATTTGGTTGCCGAGTTTGCAGGCACACTCCAGTCAGTATTTCCCAACAAGTCCATCCCGTAGTTTTCGGCCACAAATTTCTTAGCGAAAATAGCACCCAACACCCGTCGGGGGGGGCACCAGCGTGGGATGCTCAAGCATGGATTGATGCACAAAAACTTCAGGGTAAGCCGACTCGCCCACTCACGTAGAGTGCAAAGCTCCCACTTTCCGTGCGGCAAGATTCTACGAAGGCAAGTGACCAACGCACAACAACATCAGAATCAACAACACAAGTACAAACAACACTTCGAGTAGCTTTCACACTGGGACAATGTTGAAACTGTATTGGTTCCGCTTCATGGGTTACCAATGCTGAACCTTCAAATGTCCATGTGTTCATGACTGATATGCAGTTGACTTTTGGGAAGTTACGCGGTGCTCTGCGTTCAACTCACGTTTTGTTTTGTTGCTCAAACACGCGTGGATCTCCCGCCTTTCGTGGTGCTAGCTTCCTGTCAAACAACGATGGACGCAGTGCACAACAAAGAAACAAACAAGAAAGTGAAACAAACAACAACACCGGCGTAGCTTGATGCCGCTTATATAGCTCGTGTTGTTTTTGCGCCATAAGTCAAAACTTGCTTCCTGATCTTTTCGGCGCCGCAGCTTCCTTGTCCCACTTTCCTGCCATGATCTGACCGCATCAATCTGGTCTATATTTGCCTCTCCAATAAAATTGGCCTGGAAACCCTAGCAAAGTCAGGCATCGTTGCACGCCCAGGGCCTGAGCCCAGGATCTGAAATTTGACACCAAACCAGGCAAATTCACGATTTCATTTTGCACAATGCTGATAACAAAACATCCTGTTTGATACAGTAACAAACCGACAAACTATACTTGGCCATAACTCTTCCAAACAGAGCTCAACTCGGTTGTCCATAGCTGAACAGAGCAAATTCCTTTACAAGCTGCCCAGGCGGTCAGTTTGAAGGACAAAATCCAACAAATAGTTGTGCTGGACCTGCCACGCGGAAAATTTGCGTTTTGTGGCAAGGATGCAATGTACAAATGAAAACACCAAAATACAGTACACCATTGACCGCTGGCACCAGAATTTCAATATACTGCAGTACGCCAATGTCGCATGCGCAATCGGCCGGACTTTTCCTCAAACGTGGCGCCGCGCCTCCTCTTTGCT